GGGGGAGAATCCCCCGCTCTGAGAAGCAGCGATTTAACCACCCGTGGGATCTCCCAAGATCAGGGAGCAGCCTGCCATGTATAAGAGAACCACGGGTGGGGGAGGGTGTTTACAGTGCCGAATTTTGGGCAATGCAGCAAGTCTGGGCTCAGGATACTGTATTTTTGAAGCACCACGGCGGGGGTTCTCACACTGATGGCATATGGACCATCCCATGAGCACTCTACTCCCAGCAGCTGAGAAAAACCACTGGTCGAGACCACTGCTCAGGTAGAGAAATTACTGGGTGCCAAAGCAGGAACCTAGCGTGGGCTCAGGTATATCCTTTATTGTGAAAACTTTTTTAAGTTGTATTTTTTATTTGATTGTGGTAGGAACACTTCAACGAATCCTACCCTCTTAACAAAATTTTTAAGTGCACAGTATAGCACTGTTCCCCGTAGGCAGGATTGCCCTTTTAAAGTGAGTTTGGGGGCGCCTGGGTGGCTCAGTCGGTTAAGCGTCTGACTCCCGCTAAGGTCGTGATCTCGCGGTTTTGAGTACGAACCCCGCGTCGGGCTCTGTGCTGACAGCTCGGAGCCTGGAGCTGCTTCGGATTCTGTGTCTCCCTCTCTCTCTCTGCCCCTCCCCCACTCGTGCTCTGTCTCTCTCTCTCTCTCTCTCTCAAAAATAAATAAACCTTAAAAAATAAAAAAAATAATAATCAAAGTGAGTTTGGGAGGAACAGCTCTGATCGATGCGGGGTGGGGGTGGGGGGATGGCTTGGATCTTCCCCGTCTCCAAGAAAGTGGGAAACGGATAGGGTGGCCGGGAGACATCAGATAGAATTTCCACAAGGTTGCCGATTCCAGGAAAGCGGATATTGCGTTTGCCCGGCCGTCTCCTGCAGCCCCAGCATCCAGCCCAGGACATGCACTTGATACATATTTGTTACCTTGACCTGACTTGAACTGGAGGGCTTGCCCAGTTTCTGCTGCGTCGCCCTCCCATGATCCCACGGACTTAACAACTTGGAGTGATTCGGAGTGTTTGCTGATCTCCATTCTGTCTGACTCAGCCATTTCTCTAGAACCCGCGGGGCTGGTCCGCCTACCCCACCTCAGGACATCCATATGCAGATTTCAGTTGCCACTCACCCTCTCACGAAACAGGGGACCACTTCGTCAGCCGGTATCCGGTTGAGCCAGGAGGAGCACACGCCGTGGTGAATTGGTCCTTCTCCATCTAGCAGAGGAACCAAGGCGGTCTGGCGCGCCTCCTGTCCCCAAGGTTCCCCGTCCCCGGCTTCCCCGCTCCCTCCAGAGCAGAAGGCCCAGAGCCCCATGCCAAGTCTGTGCCTTGGAATTCCTTGTCTGGACATGGTATGGTTGGGGTGAGCTCACGGCTGTGAAACCGCCCAGGGTTCCTGTGGGTGAGGGTGGGTCGGATTCAGATCCTGCCACTGACTGAGGTCACGGTCAGTGTGCTCTGGGTGACCTTCCAGGATGCCGGTCTCAGAGCTCCCCCGGGCACTGTGCACTTTAACCGCTTTATCAAGGAGGGAAAATACAGGAGGAAAACGCTAGGGTATCTGACTGACCTACAGCCAGCTGGACATCACGCAGCAGGGAGCTCCCCGCCCCGAGGGATGGGTGGGGGTGGCTTGTTTGAGTCGCTGCCTGGGGGGGGGGGGGGGGGCGGCGATGAGGAGATGACAGTAAAAGGGCTCTCAGGCTTGGGGAGTAGAGAAGAAGTTCAAGCGCACATCCTTCTCGCTTCCTGATTCTGCACCGGGTTGGCTCTGCCTGAAGGGGCGATCCACCTGCCCGGCCCCTTTCCCAGCTCCTGGCCTTGGGGATGGGTCTCCTCCCTGGGGACTTGGGATTTGGCAGACCTGCAGAGGCCCCTGGGGGCAAACGCAGACCCGGAGGCTCTCCCAGTGCCCTTGCCCACCTCGGGTGTGGTAGGAGACAACGGCCACGGTGAGGTGCACCTCGTCAGGGTACATGTCTGGGGAAGAACTGATTGAATAGTATCGAGGCTGCAGCAGGGACAGCTGGGTCAGGAGCAGGGTGGTGGGCATCTGGATGGACGGGAACTCTTCCAGCACCTCCACGATGGTGGGGTTCTTGCCCCATTTCCATTCCTCGTACTCCTGCAAGCCCTGTGCCAAGGAGAGGGACACAGGACTCGCACCCGCCCCGGTACACACTTCCAGCGAGGGCACCAGGATGTCCAGGGAAGGTAATGAGCCATCATAAATGATGGCTAACATTTATGCAGTAATTACTCCGTGCCAGCTTTTAATTCTTACGACCGTAGGAGGCAACGGACAAACATGGACGCCCTTTGGCTTTAAGGCAGTGATTCTGGGTTTTGAATCCAGGTGGGGGGTGGCAGACTTCAGCCCGACAGGGAAATGTGGCTTAACCACCTGTTTCGTAGGAGCCTAGGAGCTAAGAGTTGTTTTTACGTGTTTGAACAGATGGGAGCTGGGGATGAAATCAAAAGAATACTATTTCGCGACACGAGAATGTGATATGAAATTCAAATTTCTGCACCCACAAATGAGGTCTGATTGGACCCTGGCCACGCCCACTCACTTAGGTGCTGTCTATGCTGTTGGGCTATAACGGGAGAGTTTACGGGGTTGCGATAGAGACCTCAGGCACCGTGAGCCTAACATACTTCCTACCTGGCTGTCTATGGGAAAAGGTTGCTGACACCCACTTTAGGCCGTGTGGCCCCAGAATCTGTGCTCCCAACTATTATAGGTCCTGCCACATGTAAAGGTCAAGAGAGAAGGACCTGGAAATGGAAGGAGTTGTGACTCATTGATACAGAACTCAGCTGTGATCTGTGAGTTTGCAGGTCTGGAGACGATGCATCTGCAGAGAGCATAGGTCAAGTTTAAGATGGTGAATGACAGCCCCAAAGGAATAGGTTAGGGTGTGGAGGACCATGTTCAGGGGCATGTGGACAGCACAGCCCCTCTGGGACTCTGGAGTTATTTTTCCGACATCTCAGAAGCTGCCCTGGGCATTCCCTTATTGCTTACACGATGCTCAGGCTTTGAGGAATAAAGCCCATTATAAGTGCATCGTATAACAAAGCTTTCCCCCATGTTCCTAAAGGTGACCCTTGCTCTATTGATAGGGTATGGCACCCTTAAGGACGCGCCCCCCCAGACCTCCAGTCTCACTGATCTCTAGCTTACAAGGGTGCAATTAGCCAAGAGCCTCAGGAACTGCGGTCTGAAATGGACACCCACTAGAAACAGACATGGGTCACCGGTGCTGGTCCTTCCGAAGGCTGCAGCTGCCGTTCTAGATGCTTCCATTCAAACTTCCTTCCCTCTCCTTCACTTGGGGTCAGACTTGTTAGAGGTCTGATGGTTCTCCCAGCCTTACCTGAGTCTTTGCCATTTTTCTCTCACACAGGTGTTTCCCTTATTAAAAATCCTCACTCATTTAACCCCACCTTAGAGTTTGCGCTCTTTGGAAGAAACGGGCTAAGACATACAGTTTATCAAATTCTACTTGAAATCATCCCGTCCGAACAGTGCTGATCTCTGGTCCCTCTTCATGGCAGCCCCTGACTCATGAATTACACCTTTGAATTAAAGTTATGCATGTACACAGCATAAAAAGTGAAACAATTCTGCAAAGCTTATGATGAAAATTAATGCTCTGACTTCTCCAATCTGTTTCCAACTTTCCAGAGTTAACCCCTTACAACTCTCTATAAATGTTCCTTCTGGTGTTACTTTTCTCACTTCTAAATACAGGTGATCCTCAAACAACACGGGTCCCTCAAACACATTTTCTTTTCTCTAACTTACTTTATTATAAGAATACGGTATAGACTACATATAACATACAAAATGTGTGTTAATCGACCGTTTATATTCCTGGTAAAGCTTCCAGTCAACCGTAGGCTATATTTGTGGCAATTCTGGGGGAGTCAAAAGTTATATGTGGATTTCTACTACATGGGGGGTGGTTAGCACCCTTAACCCCGGTGCTGTTCAAGGGTCGACTGTAATATGCATTCTTTGAATTAGCCTCTTCCTCTCTGCCCATCATTCAGTGCCCTCTCCTGGACAGCGGAAGAAAGCTAAACCAACGTTGCTTAGTGGAGAGCAGCCCCCACTGGGAGAAGTCTGGGTGGCCCCCCTGGGTAGGATTCTACGGAGCCAGGTTTTGCAGCAGCTTGGGGCAAGGAAGCCCTAGGCTTCAAAGCAAGGGTGATAGAAGGGTTTGTTTGATTCATTTTACCATCAGAGGGGCTCCTATATCTTGCAGTCCTATCAATAAGTCCTCTGCTTTGGGAAAGGCCTCTCTCTAAAACAGGGCAAGTGGGATTCTCTATTTCTTTTCCTCCTAAGTATGGGCTCAGATAGAACTCATGGAAGCTCAAGAGTTGCGAAGGAAGGAGGAACAAGAGTTAGCACAGACATTTCTACCAGGCCAGAGAACTCTGAGATTCAAAAGAGGTACCCTCGTTCTGTCAGACCTTAGTTAGAATGAAGGGAGATGGTCAGGACTAGCCAATATGGCGGCCGCCTGCAAACAAAAATTGGCAACTCTTGCTCAACCCTGCCACCTGCTGGACAGCTGTGGTTATAGTTCTATAACTCTCCGCCAACTAGGAGGTGAAAGGTACCCTTGGGGGTTGTACGAGGCCAGGGACCCACCTTGCTGAGGACCAGCAGTCGCTGCTTCTCTTTCTCGCTGGTGGCCAGGGACGCAAACTGCTGCAGCTGCAGTGGCGTGGGCGGCGTGGTGATGTCCAGGTAGTACTTGAAGGCCTGGAAGATGGTGCAGGGCGGGAGGCGGTGCTCATCTGTCCAGTTACTGATGACGCCTATGGAGGTGAGGGGTGGACGGGGGAAGGAGAGTCTGAGCTCCGAGGGCTTAGGTCCAGGCCAGGAAGGCCAGATTTGCTTCTGGGACAGAGGACGGGGCCGGTGAGCCTTGGCTTGCCACCTTCCATGTTCCACATCTACACCCAGGGTTCTGGGGACCACGCGATCACCTCATCTATGCAAGGCGCATATCCAAAATCAATTGAGCAAACCAGTTCAAAAATAAAAAGAATAAACCATTATTTAAATAGCATGAGACAGTCCCGTGGCATTCTATGCAGTGAGCCCCCCTACTGAACACAAGCTATGGGTCTATTTTGGCTCTGTCTGCCCTCTCATGGTGCCAGCCTCTCAAACCTCTCAGTGGGGTTTCAGTATTTAAAATTGCAAACGTACCTAACACTTTCCTAGCGCTTTCTCTAGGCCAAGTGCTATTCTCCAGTAATTCATTGAGTCCTTACAACAATCCTAGGTGATTGGTGCTATTAGTATCATCATCCCCGTGTTGCCACGGAGAAAAAAGGAAGAAGCACAGAGAGGTAAAGGGATTTGCCCGAGGCCACACAACTCATAAGTGTGAAGTCAGGCAGCACTGCTCCAGACTTCGTTCTGACTACTGCACTGTAGGGCGTCTGTGTAATTTGCACCTGATATAGCCCCTAAACACAAGCCTTTACTTTATATCAGGGGTTCAACCCAAGATAAAAAAGTGCTAGTCCAACACCAAGGAAGAATTTGGCTGGGTAGGATTTATGAAGATAAAGTGTTGTCTCTCCAAAGTGGTATCTTTCTTCTTCTTTTTAAAAAATGTTTATTTATTTATTTTGAGCAGGGGAGGAGCAGAGAGAGAGAGAGAGAGAGAGAGAGAGAGAATCCCAAGCAGGCTCCATGCTGTCAGCACAGAACACGAACCGTGAGAGCATGACCTGAGCTGAAATCAGGAGTTGGACACTTAATTGACTGAGCCACCCAGGCGCCCCCAAAGTGGTATCTTTCGGTAGGCTTTTCAGCAGGGCTCTGACCACATACTATTTCCACATTCTGCTCTGATGGTACACCCTAACTCCTTCGGAAAGGTGGGCTGTCACCTAAGGTCACTGTGGTTCCTCGTACCTGAGCCCTAGGCTTACCTGCGCCTACTGAGCTGAAGCACGGAGACCCATTTGCCTTTGAAAGTTCTTCAACAGGAATGTCAAGGATGGTCACCGAAACGACCAGAACCTGATCTAATGAGGTCAGAAACGTGGTTCAACCTCTAGTGGGCCATCGAGCTGCATATAGTGCCTTTTCATTTTAAGAGGAGGGAGGGGCACTCAGCTGCTACTTATTCGGTGGGCAGTGAGGCGGTGGTGATGAAGGCAGGCAGAAGCCCCTGCCCCCAGGGACGAGCTGAGGATGTCCTGGTATCATGGACGCTGGTCCATGGACGCGGGCTCAGCCAGTTGGGCCAAGGTTGTTCAGCCATGAGCCCGGGAGGAGTTTTCAGTCTCAAAAACTGGAGGTGACAGAGACCCATTCTGCCACCTGGCGTGGTGATGGGGAAGAAGGACGGGTCTCCCCCCCCCTCCCCCCCACGCACTGCCCCTGGAACCCCCCGGGGGAAGGGGAGAAGCTTCGGGAGCAGCCGGGTGGGGTGCCCGGCCCTGGCCATAGTTACCCAAAGCCGTGTTCCTCTCCACCAGCAGTTCCACCTTCACCAGCTGGTTGACTGGGGGAGCATCTTCCAGCCGCTCCATCAGGGCGTTCACGAGGTCCTCGCGGTTGCCAGGGAAGACGCCCAGGTGGTCCCCAGGCTGGTACTGCAGCTCCTGATTCCCATTGGTGTGGAGACGCACGAAGATCGTTGATCGGCTGGAGGGGAAGTCGAGGAACAGTTGGATAAGGGTCACCAGCTACTGCCTCCTCTCCTTGCTCCTTCGCCTCTTCTTGTGCCTGCAATCCCCCTCCTTCCATCCCGTGAGCCCCCAAGTCCTCTGCCCCCATCATTCCACACCATAGCTTTTGGCACCCGTGAGCTCCGCATTGCAAATCCAGTGGAAAGTTCCGAGCGCTCCTCTTGGTCATGGAAGACGCACTGGGCATATCTGCTCACTTCCTCCTTCTCAACTCCTTTGTCCTGGATTCCAGCACCCCAGGCTCTCCTGATCTTCTCTCCTTGGCGGCTCCTTCTTGTCTCCCCAAACTCTAGGCATGAGAGTACCTCAGGGTTCAGTCCTCAGATTCCTTGCTTTTCTATCTTCCTTCACCGGCTTTTCTCCAAACCACTTACCGCCATCTGCCCTCTAGTAGAGTTTACATCGTCATGTGGTTTGTGGTCTGGCCCCCTGCCTGCCCCCCTGGCCTCCAGGGCAATGCAAATTCTAGACGGCAAGGAATCTGTTTTCTCCACTGCTCTATTCCTGGCAAATAGGACCGTGCGTGGCACATCGTTGGTACTCAAGAAATATTTATTAGATGAAGAGACCTCAGACTCCCAGGGTTAACCAGCCGCCATAACAGACTCTGTTCTCAGTACTAATTGGGGTTCTCCCAGGAACCACTACCCCATTGGAGCCAAGGTAGCCCGAGTCCTCATTCTGTGTAATGCCAGCTCTCCTGGGAATCCCAAGCTCCACCCGTCTTCTGTAAGTGGAGGGTCCCCATATTGTCATGGAAATGAGAAACATAATTGGTCTTTGTTATGTACAAATCCACCAATATAAGTTTGAGAGATCTAAGGAGAAAACGCAGAGAGAAATTTATTTGTATCTGTCAGGTACTTCTCTTTTGCATTGGTTTTTGAATTTTAAGGGCAGAAGGCGTATGCCAAGGGAAGGCTTCAACAATGAATTCACAGACTACGATCATTCTGGTCCTTTACAAAGTTTTAGTACAGATCCACCTGGAAACTTGGGGGCCCCATCACACTTTGAAAATCAGATTCTTTGTACTCTTTGAGTCTGCATTTCGACCTGCTTTTCTTCGTTGCTAATTGGTTCTCAGTTGATAGAGACCCTTCGTATTCAATGTGAAGTTTCTACATTCTCCACAGAATGTAAATCAACACTTGAATAGATCAATGGGACTCGCTATTTAAAGGAGTCTCTGGCACACCCAAGAAGCCTTTTGTGCTGCAAATAGCCACCATCATTAAAAAGAGTTGTGCTGGCACATTCACTTTTGCAAGTATTTTCTTGAAGCAAGGCACCCCCGTCCTTAGTCTGGTGGGGAAATTGGTGGCTGAAATTGTGAATGGTGCTGTCAGGGTCTGGGGTCCCATTCTCTTTTCCTGGACAGATTTTGCTATCCCTGGGACACTAATCTTGTCAACTATAAGGACTCGCACGACTGATTCTGCTCTGAGTTCATAGGCATTTCTGGTTCCTGGAGAGCAAAGACATCATCACCTCCTGCCAGTTCCACGATCGGAATTAGCAGAGGCTGAGAGCCAGCAGGGGGCGCTGTGGGGCTGCTCATTTCGGAGCCTCTCGCGCCAACCACAGGAAGCCTTTGAAAGGCCCGCAAATCAATTCCCACTTTCTCCTAGATCATCACGATTTCTTTCAGAAGTATATTTGCCTCCGTTCTGGGCGGTACAAAATAGAAATGCGGAGGACCCGTACTTGCTGAGCTGGCTCACGTTCACAGTCATTTCTCCCAAGTCCTCCTGAACGTGACATAAGGTGGTCAGGCCGCCAAGGGGCAGGAATGGGGAGGCAGCTGGCAGGTTAGCAGGGTGGGCCCAGGCTGTGCCCCAGTCTGGGAATTTAACCCGGGGGACTCTGCAAGCCTCTGATCAGGCATGACTTCCTAAGCCCAGCGCTGAATGGCTGCGTGGCCCCAGGACACCCTGATGGGCTGGTCCTTGAGACCTTGTGGGGGAAGCAGATTTCCCCCCAACCCCTTCCCAGTTGCACTAACCTGGAGACCAGTTGTCTTAAATCTCAACGGGAGGGGGGGGGAGGGGTTTGTAAGAATTGTATAGGATTTTGTAAGCTTTTTTTTTTTTTTTTTTTTTTTTTTAAGCTTGGGACACATATGGGCCATTGAGAAGTACAGAGGAAGGGGAGAAAGGGAGGAATGGGAAGGTAGCAGTCATTTGGAGCCTCAACCATCCCCTCCTCCAGAGTATCCACTGCTTGTGATTTATATCCACACACGGAAGCATAACACACACGTGTGCTTGGCGGCGGCTCATTGACGGGCTCACAGATGAAACAACAGTCAGCTAACATCCAGCATTAAATGGAAAAAAAAAATAGCTACTTTCATTCTTCAGTGTAAAGAGTAAATATTGTAAGTTTCAAGTTTCATTCGCTTAGCAAATTTATACTGAGTGCCGGGCACTGTTCTAGGCACTGGTGAGACAGTGTTGGACGCACAACAAAGTGTTCTATTCTCATTGAGGAGCAACTTAAAAAGGTCTCAGAGGGGGTTGGTGATGTGGATGGGTGGGTGGTGATGGGCTGGGGGCAGCGGGCCGAGTGACCATCAGATAAGGATGGTCAGGGAGCCCTCTGTGATGTCACATGTCAGCAGAGACCTGAACAAAGAGAAAAAGGCGACATGCAAAGATCTGTTTGGGAAGAGTGTGCATGTGCAAAGGCCCTGGGGTATGAAAAGGTGTGGCACGTTTGGGGAAGGGAAAGAAGGCTGGAGTGTTTGGAGGTGGGAGAAGGAGATCAGAGAGCCGGGCAGAGGCCAGATCACAAAGGCCTCATTATGACCTGTCATGGCAAGAAGTTTGAAGGTCTCCTCAATCCAGTGAGAAGCCACTAAAGGGCTTGAAGCAGCAGAGGATTCAATTTACGTTTTTAAAAGATTGGTCTGGCTGCTGTTTGGAAACGTATCTTTGAGAGAAAAGCCAAGACACAAGGAGACAAATACCATTGATGAACAGGGCTTTGCTCCAGGTGGCAGCTGTAGGTCTGAGACGAAGTTGAAAGTCAAGTCCCGTAGGACCAGAGGACCGGCTGTGAGCTGGATGTGCAGTGTAAGGGAGGGCCAGGAGGCAAGATGGATGCTTGAGTTTTGGGGTTAAGCCAAATGTCGATGTTCTCTGCCGAAGCGGGAAAGTTGGAGAGAAGCAATTTCATCCGAGGCGAGACACGAATCGAGAGCTCCCCCACCAGGAACTGGCCGTTGTAATGTCCTGCCACCCTCCACGATGCCTCAGTGCTCAGGACCCCTGCCGCACCTTGGCTCCTGCCAGCCTCTGCCTGGACGCTCCTCCTTTGTCCTCATTTCCTTTCTAAAGCCTACCCTGTGTCTTCCTTCCTCCTTCTGACATCTGGGACTTAAGATCACCCAACCCGATTACCCATTACCACTCCATTATATCTGCTTCTCTATTGTTTGCTAATTGGTGTACCAAAAAGTGTATCTCCTGGCCAGGCAGTAACCGTGGTCATTTTTCTCTTTCGATGAGAAAGAGAAATTGCAGGTCACTTTGCCTGCAATTAAGGGTCTGTGGGGCAGAGAAAGATTTGTGATATCTTGCTCATGGCCTCCTGGCCCCAAAACCGTGACTTTGTGCCGACTTGGGCAGGGGGAAAATGGGAGAGAGTATCATACTTTTTGCCTCAATCATCCTTTTAAAAAAACCCCAACTTATAAAGCTGGAGATGATAGAAAGCCTGAAAAGAGGTAGTGTTACGGATTGTGCTTCTACAGACGTAGACACCTGTATACAATCTGATTCTTTTTGTGCTCCTTCATGACTGATTTTAATACTACGTTCCAGGTCCTAACCTTGCTGAAGTATTCTCTCCCTCAGCATAGAGTCGGCTGTCCTTTCCAGAGGTGAGTGGGGGTTATTCTGGGACTCGGTCCAACTTAGCATGCAGAACATTTGCAAAGGACCTTGCTTTTTATGGTTTAGGGAGTAATTTTTGTGATCTGGTTTTTCAGAGCTTGTTGCTAAAGGAAATTTCCAGTGGATTCTCAGTCCCTTCTCCTCTGGGCTACCAAAGTCATCGCTTTCCACAGGGCAGACTGGGAAGTAGGGTGCGTATTTCAGATACAGAGTCCCTCCCTGTATCAGAGATCATTATGCTCCGAATGTAGCATTTAACTAATTATTCAAAGGGATTAATTTCCCAATCCATTTCTTTCATGCTTGAGGAGCTAAGAGAGAACATGAGAGCTCTGGGGGCTTCATCCTGCTGGTAACTTTATCAGAGGTTTGGAGCCCACGTAGAAAGCATGCATACTAAGTTTGCAGGTGTTTGATGCTGGGACAGACAAGGAAGAGAAGGGAGACGTATGATATGCTGGCTGTTTTGTGCACCTTGTCCTTAATACAACGGCTTTGCAATGCTCTTGAGGTCACATGTGGAGCCATCCGGCATACAGACTTTGGAGTCAGAGAACCGAGTCTGCGTGACCTTGGAAAAGTCACTGGCATTTTCTGATCGCCATTCTTCATGTTTAAAGTGTTGATGATCCGAGGAGCACCTACTTCCTGGGCTGGTCAAAGAGTTCTGGGAGATCCCACACAGAGAGCACTCAACACAGTGCTCGGCACACACAAAGCACTAGCTAACCATCAGCGATCTTTATGGCCACCACTCTCCTTTGACATAAGGAGACGGGGCTCCGAGGCCCTGAGTGACTTTGCCCACGGTCACACAGCTGGTATGCAGCAGAACCCAGGGCTGTCCAGCTTGCGAGCCTACTCTTTGCACTATGCCATGTGCAAAGAATCAAGATTTCAAAAGAGCGTTGTGGGCTGTAACTGGAAAGTGAAAAAAAAACAAAAATGCCTTTCAATAGGGATCAATGCAAAGGACTTCATTAAGGCCACAAATACTGTTTACTCAAGGACAGTGATGGACGGACCTGGCTCCATCACTCTGAAAACACTCGATGTCTAAGAGCAGCAAGGGTGCAAGCTTAGTGCGAGAGCAGTGTGGCAATCAGGACAACGCCTGACATCTTGGGCGGCCTCAGCGTGTCCCGCTCAAACGGCGGGGGGGGGGGGGTGGTTATAAGGTTATAAGAGCCTCGGGGCCCGTGGCGGCTCCGACAGGTCCTCCACTGCACTGTGACCAGGTCTGAGAACGACATCCCCGGCAGGGCACAGCGTGTCCTTTGACGAAAGCGAAAGGCTCGGGAAACTAGGCCTTAGGAAGAACGACGGGAAGGAATCAAGACCACAGGAGAGGCTGGTTGGTGGCTTTGGCTCTTAGCGGGTCTCCCATTTGGAAGAACTGAATCTGGTTTGGGTGTCGCTCGAGTATAACCGGGGTCAAAATGAAGTGCTAGGAAGATGCCCTCTGGTCATAGCGAGAGTAAGATGAGATCTGACAACCTGCACTTCGAAACACAGCGCGGTCTGTTTTGTGAGGTGACGAACCTCCTGTCGTCCCAGAGGAATTTCAACGGAGTCCGGGTAGCCAGTTTTCAAGACTCCACAGAGAAGAAGGACCCACAAGGAGGAAATGCTCTCTGACCGGGATGCTGGGGTGCGATGCACATTAGCATTCTGACAAGGGTGCGGTCTATATCAAAAGTGCCTCATAAATCCTTCCTGTTTCTGCTTTCCGCGATGGTCGCCACCATCTCCGTTCCTGGACCTTCTAGGTCCGAGCTTGGCAAAGGGAAAGCAGGAAAATCTCGATGCTGCAAGGCAGCAGGGGGGTCCCCGTGGCACTTGGAATCGTAACGGGGAAGCCAGTCCCCCGAGCCAACCAGGACTCTCCGTCCCGATCGTGGGTGACCCCCGGAGCACAGGGGGGTAACCCCGAGCCCACCGAAGGTGTTCCTACCTGGATTTAGGGCTCTGAAGGTTTTGGCGGCTGAGGAGTCGAGCGGCCGAGACCCGCTTTTTGTGGACATTGGATAGACCTGTGGGGAGCAAAACAACAGTCTTCCTGAGATGGGGTTAAACTGTGGTCGGTGCAAACCTTCCAGCTTCTACTGACCCTCCCTTCACACTTCCACTGTCCCCCAGAGTGAAGCCAAGAGGTGAAAGAAAAGACTCGGGGGGGGGGGGGGGGGCCGGCTGTGGAGAATGCGAAGGAAAAGCAAATCTGGTCGAGCTGAGTTGAGAAGAAGAGGTCAGAGTGACATCCTCCTGCTGGAGGGAGGGACATCCAAGGACACGCCTGGCTGAGCAGGGGTGGGGGGGGGGCGCTGGCAGTGGACTTGTTTTGAGAGGATTGCACGAAAGGTAAGCAATGAAACCCACCTCCTCTAAGTGGGTGGAGGTGAGAACTCCTGTCTTTCCTGCCCCCCCCCCCCCCCCCGGCACCGTCTTGCGTGCCTCCCCAGGAGCGGGGGGAGAGGTACCTTGTGTAAGTTCCGGAGCTTCGGCCACGTAGGTGAGGCGGAACTTGTTTCTTTTCCAGCTGCGGTCGTTGCTGATGAGGGAGTTGTTTGCCTTCTCAATGTTGACGTCATCTCCCACGCAGAACACATCGCAGGCTGCCTGTGGCACACACAGGGCTTCCGGTGACCTCTTTCAGCCAAGAGGGACTCTCCACCAACAGCTCGAAACCATGACATGAATCCCTCCATCCATCCATCCATCCATCCGCCCATCTGTCCATCCATCCTTCCATCCCTCCGCCTACCCACCGGTTCATCCTCCCTCTCTTCCTTCCTCACTCCTCCCTCCCTCCCTTCCTTCCATCTATTCATCCAT